AAAGGGACTCAGTCATACTCAGCCATGTCCATATTACCCCCCACATTTTATGTTTTAATGTCACAGTTTATATTTTTTCTGTGTGTCCTTTAGATAATCATTGTAGTTACAGTTTTCTAACCACTTTTGTTTAAAGTATTTTTGAAATTGAGTATATTTGATGTAAAATATTATGTAAATTTCAGGTATATAACATAGTGGCTCAGAATTTTTAAAGATTATACTCCATTTATAGTTACAAAATATTCACTACAGCTTATTTATGGAGAAGGAAATGTCAACCCACTCCAGTATTTTTGCCTGGAAAATCCTACTGATAGAGGAATCTCACGGTTACAGTCCATGGGATCTCAGAAGAGCTGGACACAACTTAGCAACTAAACAACAATAGTTTATTTTCTACCTAACAGTTTGTACCTCCGAATCACCTACTCCTTTTTCCCTTCTCATCCTCCCTCTCACTATTGGTAACCACTGGTTTGCTCTCTATAGCAGTGAGTCTGTTTTTGTTTTGTTATATTCGACAGTTTGCTTTATTTTTTATATTCTACATATAAGTGAAATCATATAGTATTTGTTTTTCTGTCTGACATTTAACTTAGCACATACTCTCCAAGTCCATTCATATTGTTGCAAATGGCAACATTTTATTATTTTTTATGGCTAAATAATATTTCACTGTGTATATGTGTATATATAGATATACACAGTATACACACACACATCACATCTTCTTTATCCATTCATCTGTTGGTGCATACTTAGGTTGCTTCCATATCCTGCCAATTGTATATAATGCTGCTATGAGCATTGGGGTGCATGTATCTTTTTGAATTAGTGTTTTTGTTTTTTTCAGATTAAATAATCAGAAATGGTATTGCTGGGTCATATGGTAGTTCTAGTTTAGTTTTTTGAGAAACTTCTGTACTGTTTCCCACCGTGGCTGCATGCACCAATTTACATTTCCACTAACGGTGTATGGAAGTTCCCTTTTCTCCACATTTTTGCCAACATTTGTTATTTGTGTGTGTGTGTGTTTAAATGATAGCCATTCTGACAGACATCTGTTTCCTTCCCTAGGTTAAGGTTGTTTTCAGCCATTATTTCTGCAAATAACTTTTCTGTGTCCTCTCTCTCTCTTCTCCTGAGACATCTACAATCCAGATGTTACTCCATCTGATGCTGTCCCATAGGTCCCTTAAGCTGTCTTCACTTTGTAAATTCTTTTTGCTGCTCTGTTTTGGTGAATTCCACTACCCTGTCTTCCAGATCATTGATTCTTTCTTTGCTTCATCTAGTCTGCTGTTGAACCTCTTTAGTGTATTCTTCAGTTTAGCTGTTACATATTCTTCAGCTCTAAGACTTCTGTTTGGTACTTTTCTATCTTTCTGCTGAACTTCTTGCTGTGTTCATTCATTCTTTTCAGTGTTTTTATGACCATGGCTTTTAGTGCCTTACAGATAAATTATATATCTTGTTTCATTAAGTTTAAAAAGTTTTATTGGCATATAGTTGACTTATAATGTTGTGTCAGTTTCAAGTTTACAGCAAAGTGATTCAGTTATACATATATCTACTTTTTTTTAATATTCTTTTCCCATATAGGCCTCATTATTATTATTTTTTCCTGGGGTTTTATTGTTTTTTCATTTGAAACATTTCTCTGTCTCTGTGTTTGTTTCTATGTACCAGGTGAACAGCTATCTCACCCAGTATTGAGGAAGTGACCTTGTGTAAGAGAAGAAACTTATCATTTAACTTGCCCTAACCCTTGGCTGTCTCTCAAGCCTTCTGAGTGTCTAAGCAGTCAAAGTTTTTAATAGGTCCTGGTTGTTGAGGTGCCAAGAACTCTCTGTCTCATTTTTTTTGTCACTCTGTGGAACCCAGAACACAGTCCACCCTGTGCTGGTCTTCAGAGCCAAGCATGCCAGAGGCATCCACTGTGTGGTCTGCACCTGCCCACCAGCTTTGGTGAAGCCCTGGGGGTGACTTGGGGGTCAGGCTACTTGTTTAGCAGGCTTTAGTAGAACCAAAGGGCCAGTGCATGGGCAGGGTGCAGCGATCAGCAAACAGTGCTAGTAATGGAGGGGAGAATGCCAAACTGGTTCTGGCAGTGCCTCCATCTCCACTCACAGGCCCAACAAGTTCCTGAACCTAGGCAGATGCCCTAGGACTAGTAAATGAAACTCCTTCACATATGGTCTAGGCACTTCCCACACTGCTGCCTTTGTGCTGGACTCCAGGGCAAAAGAGTCTGTGCATGAGCTCTTTAAGAGCAGAATCCCCATTCCCTACAAGCCTAATATTCTCTTAGATGAAAGCCCTGTTGCTTTTCAAAGTCAGACTTTTTGGAGGCTGGTCTCTCCAGTGCAGGTCCCAAGGGTTGGGGAGCCTGATGTGGGGCACAACCCCTTTGCTTTTCAGGGAGAAGTGCTCGGTTCATGAGATCCCTCCCACATGTGGGTTGCTCTGCCAAGGATGGGGTTTTGGGAAAGATGATGCCTTTGCTTCTCCTACCTGTCTCAATGCAGCCCCTTTATTCTTTGTTGTGGCAGGCTTTTCAGTTCATTTTCAGGTCCTTCCCAGAGAGAGTTGTTCCATATTTAGCTGCGGATTTGTTGTGTACATGGGAGGAAGTGAGTTCAGGTCTTCCTACACTGCCTTCTTGTACCACTTGAACCCATCAAGTCATATTTTTGATAGACCTCTCAAAATAACTCTTACTCTTCTGTATCCAAGTTAATGATAATTAAATAAGAGACATTTGGCTCTTTGATAGTAAATCCCAAATTGGGTAATAAAACAGAGCAATGACAAATTTATCATTAAACATGGACTTTTTGAAATTTCATGTTTCTTAGGTGAAAAAAAATCTACCTGGGGAAAATATCTGAAATGGAATCTATATGTGAACCCAGAGTAGGCAAAATAGCACATCCTTGGGTAAGACAGAAATTTCCATTTAATCATATCACCCTCTCAGGTAAAGCTGCTGCTGCTGCTAAGTCACTTCAGTCGTGTGTGACTCCGTGTGACCCCATAGACGGCAGCCCACCAGGCTCCCCCACCCGTGGGATTCTCCAGTCAAGAACACTGGAGTGGGTTGCCATTTCCTTCTCCAATGCATGAAAGTGAAACATGAAAGCAAAGTCGCTCAGTCGTGTCTGACTCTTAGCGAGCCCATGGACTGCAGCCTACCAGGCTCCTCCGTCCATGGGATTTTCCAGGCAAGAGTACTGGAGTGGGGTGCCATTGCCTTCTCCGCAGGTAAAGCTATGATGATTCTAATGATTAGTTGTTAGTAAGAAATGAATGTGATTCAAGCTGTTTTCCAGTTTCTTCTCAGAAAAGTTACCTGTTTTGTATAAGGATCAACATCTTCATCATTATCTCTGAGTATGCTTGAATGGTTGAAAACACAGATTTTTTTGTTTGATATTTGAGCAATGTTTGCTGAACTTGTCTCATCATAGGATTCATTTGGGACTCATGTTAAAAATAGATTCCCTGCCTCAAAAGATTTTGATTCAGTAAGTCTGGGCTGGTGTTCAAAAATCTGTATCTTTAAGAAACCTTCTAGGCCTGTCTTATAATTATATACAATTGAGAAACCCTTTTGGCATGAGACTCATTTTGAACTGGGAAAGCACACATGTTAGATGTTCTTGCCATCTCCTTGATGAGTCAGCTTGTAGTGAGAGCCCTTTGTATGGTCTCTGCTGGTGTGAGAATCTGCTTTCATGCACTCAAAATCTTTCACTTGTGTCCAGAGTGTTTCCACCAGTTTTAATATCTCATTTGGATGTACTTGATACATAATCTGAAAGTCACTGCTCTTGAGTTCTGAGATAAAAGTTTGTTTAATCTTTCTGAGAAGGCATGCAAATTATGGTTATAAGAAGGGGCTCCTGCTTAGGTGTCATAGAGACTAAAGTTTGAATGTCGGTTCCTACAGCTGAGTGACCAGTCATTTAACCTCCCTCAGCTTCTGTTTGCTTGTCTATAAAATATGAATGTAGGTATCATAACTAATGTTTCCATATTTGAAGTTCTTTGCATAAATTGTCTCCCTTTATCTTTAAAACAGCACTATGAGATAATCATACTTATCTGTTGTTCCTCATTATATAGCTCATTATATAGCTGAGAAAACTGACAGAGGACTGTAAATAACTTGCCCAAGTTCTCACACCTAGGAGATGGCCAGCTAATTATTTACTTAAAAGATTATGGGAAGAAATAATTATAAATCTTTATAGCTATCTATCTTTGCATCTTTCTTTAATTTTTATACAAATTTTGAAGGACAGCTAGTATTATCAGTATTTGAATTTGGCTAATGGAATAAATTTAATGAGTAAAATATAGTTAAAATTATAGTATAGTATAAAAGTATATACTTTTATAAGCATACTTTTATACATATATACTTTTATACATATAAAGGTATAAAAATATGTGCTTTTATATGTATAAAAAGTATAGTATACTTAGATGATAGGAAAGCCTGGTGTGCTGCAGCCCATGGGGTTGCAGACTTGGACATGACTGAGTGACTGAACAATAACAATAAATACTTAAAGAGTGCCCACGGTTACACTAGAGTGTTGTTAGAAAGCCAAGCAAACATTGTTTATTTTATTGTCAGAAAATAGTCAGTAGTAATAAGAACTCCCTCTCTGAAAAAGCAAGTGCTCAGTGGTTAGAATATAAGTCGTGTCTTGAACAGAATGCCTGTCACTTCTATTTGTAAAATGTTCTCTAATCATTATATTGCTTTGAGAATAACAAAAATGTAGGCTGCAAGACAACCATTGCATCCAGAGGAAAAGATTCTTTTATAGGCCGGGTTGGCCACCTTGGCACCAGCCTATTTCTTTAGTTCCTGCTTGAACTAAGTCTGATCAAAGCTGCTAAGGAAAAGCCAAGATGAGTCAGTAGTATGAGTCATCCTACAATTGCAGCACACCCTGCTCAAGAAACAAGACGATCTCACTTACTTTGAACCTCCACAGTCCTCCAATATCTTCAGTCTTCTCAAAGCAAGTGGGTTCGAGTCCCTCATCCACACAGCACTTGAGAGAGATCAGGCCACTGACTCCAGCTCCAATCACTGCCACCTTCTTTGCCATGGTATCCTGTCAAGGAGTTGATCAGTTAATGCTGCTTCACTAAGGCAACAAGTAAGACAGTTCTTATGGTGCGACAGGTAAGACAGTAACTGGCTTTAAATGCTGTAGCAGTGGTCATTTAATAAGCAGTACTATTTGAATAAATGCGTCACTAGTCAATTCCCAGTCTCCTCTTCCCCTTGAAAGAAACCAAGTTGAGCCATGTCTTGGCTTAATGGTTAAAAGCAACCTATTTAACAAAGTCAACCGATTCAACAGCATAGTACCAGGGATATGAGCCAGTCTTCAGTTAAGTTCTTCAGAGTGCCGAGTTTCTGTTTTTGAGTCTTTTTCCCCAGCTATCATCCTTACCTCTGTTTTTGCCTTTGAGTGCACTCTCTGACAGTAGTTTTCTGTGTAGGTTGTGTGCTGGGAGGTAATCAGAAGTGTTTTAAGAGCCAGAGGAGCCTGTGGGAAATGGGAGGAGCTCCCAGTCCTCCTCCTCTGGCATGGTGCCAGCTGAAACTTCAAGGTCTTTGTCAGGAGGAGTCCTGAAATGAAGCAAGAGGCTCATGGCCTGAGGCTTAGTCTAAAGGTTACAGTAACAATATTGTACAGGTACACATGTATCATACAGAGAATTTAAAAATCCTCTTTATTGATATAATGGATATAACCAATGCTCATTAACAAGTTAGCAAATATGAACCAATAAAAAGAAGTCCAAATTATCTCTTTACCAACTGTAACATTTTTGTTTATCTTTCATATCTATATATGTAGATAATACATGCACACAAAAAATGGAGTCTCACTCAACATATAATTTTCAACTTGATTTTTCACTCTACAATATAGCAATACCTTTATATCTATAGCAACATTTTTTTATAAAACACTGAACATGTGTATTTATTTTTTTAAAATAATAACTCCAAAATACACTTTAACAAAACCATTAATTGGTTGTTAATTAATTAACCAATTAATTAATCATTAATTGGTTAATGTAATACAGAAGCACATAAAATGTTTAAAAATGGCAAAGGTTTAGCAACATGGATGAATAGGAAAAGAAATACCAAAATCCAATATAACAATACCAAAAAAATTCAATGGATTTTCATAGGTCATACATATACATTAGAAGACATAATGCAAAAAAAATGTTTTGCATTTTTATGCAAAACATTCCAAAATACTATTAGTCATAATGAGAACAGTGCAAAAGAACTAAATTTTAATTATTTTTTTTATGATTTAAGCAAAGGCAGAGAGAATTCACACTAATGAATGAGAAGGCAGTATAAGGAGGTCAACTTTTTGTCAAAATTAACCTACAAATTTCACACAGTCTCAAAACTTAGAGCAGCATTTTTATTTTTTATTTATTTTTTAAATTAGTTAATTTATTTTAATTGGAGGCTAATTACTTTACAATATTGTAGTGGTTTTGCCATACGCTGACATGAGTCAGCCATGGGTATACATGTGTCTCCCATCCTGAATCCTCCCCCACCTCCCTCCCCATCCCATCCCATCACTCAGGGTCATCCCAGTTACAGCAGCATTTTTAAAATGACTGCATGAATTCCATTTTGTTGATGGATTAATTTTCCATCTAACAAATACCCATTTCTTTTTCTGACATATCACCGTACCTGGACAAATGATCTCACTCTTTTAACAATCTTTTAAAATACACACACACACACACACACACACACACGGGCTTCCCTGGTGGCTCAGATGATAAAGAATCTGCCTGCAAAGCAGAGCCCTGGGTTCAATCTTTTGGTTGGGAAGATCCACTGGAGAAGAGAATGGCTACCCACTCCAGTATTGCCTGGAAATTTCCATGGACAGAGGAGCCTGGCAGGGTATAGTCCATGGGGTTGCAAAGAGTCGGACATGACTGAGTGGCTAACACACAAACATATATTCTGGAGTTTACATTCTTGTTTTGGCCTGGTTTTCTTAGACTTGATGACTTCTGGATCCTAACTTAACTTACTTGTTCCTAGACTGCTTATCCTCCCCAAAGCTATATATTATCATATGTCTCTGCTTGGGTATCTGCTCACTTGGATGAATCTAGTAAGACTTCTAATATCTTCCGGTTCATTGCTATCTTTTTGCCTTGATATAGTACTGGATAACTTACCTTTGCTTACAATCTCAATTACTAGCACTACTGTTAATTAGGAAGACTAAATCAAGAGTCTATAAAGCCTCTGTGTACCTTGCTGTGCTCAGTTGTGATCCCATGGACTGTAATCCTCCAGGCTCCCCTGTCCACGGAATTTTCCAGGCAAGAATACTAGAGTGGGTTGCCATTTCCTACTCCATAGTATACCTTGGATATAGTCTAAATGATAAAGGACTTTGTTCTCCAGCCAACAAAACCAGTGGATCCAGCTAACAAGACCAGTGGACCTAAGGATACTGAAATTTTTTTAAAGCAGATTCATTCAACAAACACTTGTTGAACACCTCTTAGGTGTCAGACAATTCCTAAGTGCTGTACACATAGCAATGAACAAAAGAGGCAATACTTCTTTCCTTTATAGAGCTTGCCTTCCAGTGGAGGGAGCCAGACAAGGAATCAATAAAACAATAAACAAGTAGAGTTGTTGATGATATGTGCCCTGGAGAAAAATAAAGCAGAGAAATAAGCTCTTGGAGTGAAGAAGTATAGTTTGATATTTTAAAATAAGGCATTCAGGAAACATCATTTTCCTAAAATTTCCCAAACTGTTTGGTCACAGTGGAAGGTTTTTCTTGGTCTAATAAGTAAAGTAACTCTGTAACAAGAGTAAAAGAAACTTCAAAGGCAATGGTCAAAACTAAAGAATAGAAAAGTTGAACATGTTTCTCAAGTAAAGAGGGAAAAAGCCACTTTACTGACATTGGGTCACAAATTTTTTAAGTGGCCTGGGAGCAGTTCTCTAGTTATATCTTCACTGTCCCTTCTCTAGTTAATTATGATCTCAGTAAAAGTCCTGTAATACTTGTACTTGAGAAAACACGCGGATATGCTGCTAGCGGTATTTTAAAACTGATTGAACCCTTGGGAGATTGAATTCTTAGGCAAATGGTTTGATTCTCTCCAGGTAGATAATCTGTCTGGAGATATTAATACCCTTTGTGTCCAAATGAGCAGGCATCTTCTTGCCATTAGCACAAGCTGAGAAGCTTGCTCAACAGATAACCCTAGCTGGCAGTTAGGTATGCTAAGGGCCAACAAGGCCTCCTGGGGAGAATGAGTATATCCAAAAATGAACCATTAATCACCTGCCTAATTTTCTATTAGTATATCTTTGGATTTTGTCTAAGTTTTTGCTATTATGAAAAAGCTTTCATGAATTTTATTTGTTTATTTCTTCCACACTTACCACATCATATTCTCAGGATAAAAATCTAAAAGAGAAACTGCTAAGTGTATGCCCATTTGAAAGTCCACAGTGTTCCTCAAACTTTAATGTATAAAATACTTGTTGTGTGTGTGTTAGTTGCTCAGTCTTGTCTGACTCTTTGTGACCCCATGGATTGTAGCTCACCAGGCTCCTCTGTCCATGGAATTCTCCAGGCAAGAATACTAAAATGGGTTGCCACTCTTTTCTCCAGGGAATCTTCCTGACCCAGGGATTGAACTCGTGTCTCTCATATCTCCTGCATTGCTGGACAGATTCTTTACCACTGAGCCACCTGGGACTGCAGATGTGGATTTAATAGATAAGGAATGGGTCTGAGATTCTTCATTTCTAACATGATTCCAGTTGATTCCAATGCCACTGACCCTTAGATCACATTGTGTATTACGAGTTTCTACTATGTTTTGAGACGTTGCCTTCTGGGAAGCAGATACTTTCTAATAGTATTTTATGTTTACAAAGTATTTTAAAATGTAAAAATACTTTTATATACATTAATTCATTTGGTTAATTCAGGACCATAGTCATTACTCTGTGTGTATGTGTGTGTGTGTGCATGCTTAGGTCATGTCTGACTCTGAGACCCATGGACTGTAGACCACCAGGCTCCCCTGTACATGGGATTTTCCAGGCAAGAAGAATACTGGAATGGCTCACCATTTCCTACTCCAGTGATCTTCCTGAACCAGGGATCAAATCTGTGCCTCTTGCATCTCCTGCATTCATAGACTGATTCTTTACCACTTGCGCCACCTGGGAAGCCCATAGGCATTATTACCTATCCTTGTTTTATGGATATGAAATGAGCTTAACTTGGCTACAAGGAAGTTTAAGAATAACCAAGACGGTAATAAGCTTCTGGAAACCTTATCATAACGAGTCCCTGAAAAAGCTTTTAATGTTTAGCCTGGAGAATATATGTTGAAAAGTATATGGTACTTGCCTTCAAAAAGGCTGTTATATGGTAAAGGTCATTTAAGCCTATTTTGAGTAGACACAAAAGTCTATTCAGGATCAAATTTGTAAATGTTACAGAAAATCTGTTTGCTTCAATATAAGGAAGAACATTTTGGCTAACAATGCTGTACAAGAAGGGAATGAGCTGTTTGGTGAGGTAATAAATTCCCTGTTACTTTATTGAAACAGAGGTTGGAAAACCACTTGTTAGAAGACAATAGAGGTTATTGAGGTGGAGTGCAATAGTGAAGTAAAGTTCTCCTAACTGCAAGATTTTAGATCTTGGATTCTGTCACTGTCAGTTGTAGTTCTAAAATAGGCACAAAGTTGCTGAGAAAACTTTGGATTGGAAAGTATGCTGGTCCCTGTAAAGGACTGAGCGGTTATTGGCACTATCCATCCTCATGGCTGGGGTCCTGGAGTCACCTCCTGAGCTTTTCTTGGAAGGTTCTGAGGTCTCTTAATTATGGCTACGCTCAAGAGAACAGTGTATATATCAGCCATGATATCTTCCTATTTTCATTTTTACTTTTAATTATATATTTCAACAGATAACTTAAAAACATGCATCACTCCCTGAGAACAGAAAGTGCAGAGCCAGAAGGACAAGTTTTCTCATTATGTTGCTTTAGACTATTAGGTAAATGACAAGCCAAACTAGTCCTAGTATCTTTTGACCCAGTTTTATTTTTTGGATGAACTCATCTATATCTCCTGTGTGATGTATATTGTCTCATCATTTCCATGTGCTCTATATTTTCTGGGGCGATTCTCTTTTAAAATAATCCTCCTTAGTTTTTGAACCAAAAGAAACATTCCCAATATTTCTTTGAAGTGGTAGGAAAGTAATATGAAGGAATGGATGCATGACAGGTCTGAGCAAAGGAAATGCTCTTTGGACTAGATTTTTAAAACTTTTATTGGGATATAATTCATATGCTATGTAATTCATTTATTTAATTTAAATAGTTTAGCCATTCAGCCATGTAATGTAATGGTTTTTAGTATATTCACAGAGTTGTGTGACCATCACCACAATCAATT